GTTAACAGAGCATGCTAAATGCTAAGCCCTGTTTAGCAAAATACACACCATCCCGGAACTGAACTCACCATTATTTTCAATCTGCATCACATGGCAGAGCATAAACTCATCCCCATCCGCACAAAACCAAGTCAGAAAAACCCAAGGGGAAAAGTGTGCAAGCTTTACCTGTTGAACAACTTGGCTGCAGGCTTTTTTAGGGGGTGGCGGGTTAAATTGTGCTGCACGAAACCCATCCTTGCTCTGTGCGCGTAACATCGTTCATCTGTGCTTGTGAAAAAGCTGGAGAACGGCAAGATTTATGCCAACCTGTCCTGGCTAAGGATTATTGGATTTGGAGTCCAAACGTCTAGAGAGCACCAGAATATCGAATAACAGAATAAAAGAGTCGGATGGGACCTTGAAGTTCTTCTAGTCCAACTCATACACAGAGAGAAAGAGAAAGGGATAGAGAGAGAGATATATACCTATATACACATACATATTGTATGTATTATAAATCTTCTTTTAATGACCCCATAAATCTCTTTTGAGTTGGAATCTGGGCAACTGAATGGAGCTGAGTGTTTTACTGGCCGGATGTCCTTCCTGTTGCCAATGTGGAGTTTTGTTCAGCAGATATATTCTTGTGTGCCCAGAGAGAGAAATATCTGCCTCTACCTAGGGTCAAATATATAAATATATTTATAGATAGATAATATTTTACCATACAGGTAGTCCTCAACTTACAACAGTTTATTTAGGGCCCATTTGAAGTTACAACGGCACCCAAAAAAAGTGACTTATGACCATTTTTCACACTTACGACCATTACAGCATCACACGAGCAAAATTCGATCACACCACAAGAAAAAAACAAGAAAGTCCCAGCTGCCTCCTGAAAAAAAAAAAAAAAGCACCTTTGGAAGGAAGAAAATCTCAGAGTCTCTCCAGACAAACACACCGAAATAACCAGAAAGTCACCTTGTCTCCTTGCTTTCATATTCAACGTGGAAAAATATTTGTTTTCGCTTTTACACGGAATTCAAACCCTCTTCGTGAAGGGCTCGGCTTAATCCGAGGGTGTAAATTGCTGAGTAAATGAACAGCACAGCCTCAATTAGGATTAATGTCATGAATAGGCTGCTTTGTCACAGCAGCAGCTCGGTGCGTGCAAACTATCAATAACATATGTGAATGTTTTAGCTTTAAACCTGGTGGCTGGATCTCTGGAACTCAGAAGCAGACTTCAAATATTTGGGGGAAGAGTTCCCCTACCATAGTTTCCCAGGGTCTCTCAACTCGCAGGATTCTCCCCCCCCCCCCCCATGGATGTGTACATTCGAACTAACTGCGATGTTTCTCTGTGTAAATGTGTGTGTGTGTGTGTGTGTGTGTGTGTGTGTAAGCATAATGGGGTATCTTTTGGGAGCTGAATGCAATGAAATTTCATTTTGATGTATGATGATTAGTGCACATTAAAGTGGCAATAAAGATTCTATTCTATTCTACTTTATTTCTATTCCATTCCATTCATTTCTGTATTCTATTCTGCATCCTATTCTATATTCTACTCCATTGTCTCTTCTCTTCTTTCCTCTCTTCCCTTCCCTTCCCTTCATTTCTGTAATTTATTCTGCATTCTATTCTATATTCTACTCGTCTCTCCTCTTGTTCTCTTCTCTTCTTCTCCTCTCTTCCATTCATTTTTGTAATCTATTCTGCATTCCATTCTATATTCTA